TCTTTCTTTCTTTCTTTCTTTCTTTCTTTCTTTCTTTCTTTCTTTCTCTCTCTCTCTCTCCCTCCCTCCCTCCCTCCCTCCCTCTTCTTTCTTTCTTTCTTTCTCCCTCACTCCTTCTCCCCTCTTTCTTTATCCCCCCTCTTCTTTCTCTCTCTCTCTCTCTTTCTCTCCTTCTTGCTTTCTTTTTCCCTCCCTCCCTCTTCTCTCCCCTCTTTCTTTCTCCCTCCCTTCATTCTTTTCTTTCTTTCTTTCTTTCTTTCTTTCTTTCTTTCTTTCTTTCTTTCTTTCTTTCTTTCTTTCTTTCTTTCTTTCTTTCTTTTATTGGATTCACAGCCAACAAAAACATTAGAGGAATATTTATAGGCGTACCTAGAAAAATCATTTCAAAATCTTTTTTAACGCATTTGGCTCTGAGGGGGACTGTAAAACAGGAGGCTGCAGCCGGAGGCTGGAAGAAGGATTTTAAATTAAAAGCTGGATATCTTCAGCGGGAAATAGAGAGCCGGCTTGTTGTAATGGTTAAGGTGTTGGTCTAACTGGGAGACTGTGAGTTCTAGTCTTACCTTACCATGAAAACCAGTCTCTGGGAGACTGTGAGTTCTAATCCAACCTTAAGCTGTGAAGCCAGCTAGGTAATTTTGGTCCAGCCTCCCCCCTCCCTCTCAACCCAACCTACCTCACAGGGCTGTTGTGATCCCTCATCTGAAAAATGTTTGCAGAAATTATCCATCCCAATTTGGCGGAAAATTGTAAGGTTATGACACCATGCCTTGGTTTAAACATAAATATCTGGGGATGTTTGAGTTGGAGGAGGAGGAAGAGAAGAGGAGGTTAGGTTGAGCTAAATTTTGATAAGAACTTCTTTGCAAGGTTGATTTCATCTCCATTTGGCTGTTTATTGTGGGAGGAAGCTCTTTTATCTATTGAAGGTGCTGAAATTTTTCCTCTTTTCTCCTTGTTGCTCTGGCTCCTGTTTTCATTTCATAAACCTCCATTTTCGCTGTGTAAATTTTCAAAAATATGTTAAGGGCAAAAGAGTTGACTTTTGTAAAACTAAACTAGTTGAAGAATGGATGGGACAGTCAAAGGCCTGGAGAGGTTGACATGGAAAGCACAACTTTGTCTCCCCTCTCTGTCATTAGAGTAAAAAAGAAAATGAGAAACAAACAAACAAACAAAAAAAGAAATCTGAACATTGAAATCTCTGTATTTTGAGGAGAATTTCTGCTTTAAAAGAGCATCTTAAAGATTCTTTTGTGATCTTCTCAAAGGATACAACCCCGTTTGAACATTTCTCTCACATTTGCAATGATTGTTCACAGGTATGAAACGTTAGTGGGAACCATTGGGAAGAAATTCCTGAAGAAAAGAGACCGCCACGTTTTGCAAGATCCTACGGAGGTGGAAACCAAGGAGAGGAGGCCCAGCAAAATGAGAAAAGAATTTTTAAAACCCCAGGATTAATGTCGGGATATTGCATGCGTTCCTGCAAGGGACAGAAAGTTAGAATGGCATTTATTTTTTTTGTAAATAGCTGACTCTCCAGGAAGGGACTGGCCCTTTCTTTTTTTTCCCCCAGTACCTAATGGATGTTATACATCCTCTCTTCCCCATGCACGAACTTTTGAGGAGCACAAAAAAAGATGTAAGTGGAAACCGGTAAACAGTAGGGAAATTGTTCCTTTTTTTTAAGAAACAGAATTCAAGACTTGGTTTTATCTGCTTCATCTTGGAAAATGCGTTCCTAAGGGACATGCGTTTTTAATTTCTGAAGATGTTCTCCAGGTGCCTTAGCATTATTTTTGTTAAGGAAAACATGGCTTCCCCAAAGAAGAAGAAGGTAAAAGCAAGAAAGGAAATGCACCTTTTTGCTGTAGCCTCTTTTTTTTTATTTTTTGGAAAAAAATCCTTTCTTTATTGGTTCTTCTATCTAATGTATCAGCCAAACCGGCCTATTATCACTTAGAAATAAACAATAATTATGTTCCACTGCAGGTGGGGTTTGTGGGCTTTTGTGTATCCCAAATGGAAGAAGATTCGCTGTACAAAATCAGAAAGAGAGATTATTCCCACGGTACAGCTAGTGTTCGACTTATGACCGCAATTGAGCTCAACGTTTCTGTTGCTAAGCTAGACCGTGGTTAAGGGAGTTGCACACCCCATTTTACGGCCTCCCTTGCCACAACTGCGAAGCAAATCCCTGCAGTTGTTAAGTGAACCATGCCGTTGTTAAGCGAAGCTGGCTTCTCCTGTTGGCTTTGCTTGCCAGAAGCTAGGAAGGTAAGAAATGGTCATCGCAAGGGACCAGTGCAAGGGACATAAATACTTCCCAACACCTGAATCTTGATCACATGACCATGGCGAGGCTGCAGTGGTTGTAAGTGTGAAAACCAGTCACAAGTTGCATTTTTCAGGGTCATTGTAACATCGAACCGTCATTAAACGAATGTAGGTTAACTTGTAGTCTTGCAATCATATTATTACATACTAGGTTAGAAGAGAGAACCGCTATAAAGGGCTGTTCGGTTTTCACCCATATTGTTCTCAGATCTCTTGGGATGACAGGTTCCAGCCCCATCCAGTTCCCAGAGCTGCTGTCCTCTTCCTCTCCTCCTCCCCCTCTTCCTCCTTCCTCCTTCCTCTCCTCTTCTTCTCATCTCCTTCTCATCTTTCTCTCCTCCTTTTCCTCCTCCTCTTCTTCCTCCTCTCCTTATCCTTGTTCCCCTTCCCCTCCTCCTCCTCTTCCTTTCCTCCTTTTCCTCCTCTTCCTGTCTTCCGCCTCTCCTCCTTTTCCTCCTGTTCCTCTCCTCCTCCTCTCCTCCTTTTCCTCCTCCTCTTCCTCCTCTCTTTTTCCTTGTTCCCCTTCCTCTCCTCCTTTTCCTCCTCTTCCTCTCCTTTTCCTCCTCCTCCTCTTCCTCTCCTCCTCCTCTTTCTCTCCTCCTTTTCCTCCTCCTCTTCTTTGCCCTCTTCTTTTTCCTCCCCTCCTCTTTCTCCTCCCCCCCCCCCCCCCCCCCCCCCCCCTCCCCTCCCCTCCCCTTCCTCCCCCCCCCCCCCCCCTCTCCCTCTGCCTGCTCTTCCTCCTCCCCCCCTCCTCCTCCTCCAACTCAAACATCCCCAGATATTTATGTTTCAGTCCTATGAAAGCTTACGAAGTGATGATTTCTTTTCTTTGAATTTACAAGCTGCTCAAACGCAACGGACTCTTCCAGCGATGCTCTTCTGTGTTATTTATACAAACGAAGCCAAATGGGTCTCCTTGTCATGCTTGATCCTTAGCGTTCGTTGCAGAAACTGGATTTTTAAGATCCAGTTTCCACAGAGGTGGATTCCAGCTCAACCATGCCCAGTTTTAACAGCCCCTGGAATGGCCTTTCTGCATTTTGACCTCAGTGCACCGTAAGCAGCAGGTGAACAACAATGGACATGTGATGTGAAAGGAAGCTTAGGAAATTTCAAGCATTATTTTAACACTTTAATGTACACGCCCAGTCTCTCACACACACAGACAGACACACACACACAAACATACACTGTTGTTGCTCAGTTGTGCCTTTGTTACAATTAATTCTCCCATGTCTTACCAAAATGTGTATAAACAGAAATTAGTAGAGATTGGAAATTAAGTCTTTGCAAATATTGGCACTTTTAATTAAACTGATATCATTCTTCCCCCCCCCCCCCTTCCTCCCGGTTAAGGATTTAACGGGATTTTCATTCCCTGCTCAGTTTATTAAACATGCTCTTTGCAAACTGCACCCAGAAAATCAGAATTGAAATCATGAAGACATTTTCCATTTGCAATCACTACGATCCAAAATTACGAAGGAAACAAAACGTACAGGTCCTGCTAAATATTTAGGTGTTTATAATTTCTCCAAATTATTACCATCTCCTGTGTTACACATTCCAGATTCCTTGATGGTATCTGTGCTTGGGAATATTCCCTCCCATTATATTGCATACATTTAAGGTTACAAATACATTATTTCTGATCAGGAAGATAGATGAACCAGGACAGTAGCTCTCCATCATTCCAGGACTTGATTGATGGAATATTTCCATTTTTTCTCTTTTGCTTTTTTTTTTCCTGCTGCTTCTGCTTGGGCCTAAAAACATATAAATAATTTAGAGGCTGGATAGAAGTTTTCCTGGATACAGAGGTTTTCCAGAAAAATCCTAAGCTTAATGTTAAAGAAAAAATTGTTTCCTGCAGCCATTCCCCCGTAGAATGCATTCAACTACATTGTCTCTCTGAATTTGTCTGAATCCCTCTGAAAGCCATCTGAACCAATGGCTAATGCTGGGTCTCATAAATCATGAATTACAGCCAAGTGGTCCCTTAACGCCCTGCTTCTCGTCTTCCTCTGGAACCTCTTTGAAACATCACTCTGAATTCTATAAGGCCAAAAAGCTTCTCACGGTCCTATCGTTTTTAATTAGTTTCTTTTAACATTTGCCTTCCAGGAAGCCCATTCAAGATTTATTTTTTTTCAGAAGGATATATTGCAACAGCTCTGAAATAATTCAAGGTAGAAACACAGTTTTTTTTCAGCATCCCATACAAGCTGTGCCGTAGCATCCTTAGCAGGAGACCATTGCCTTAGATTTAGAACAGGCTTGTAAGAAACTAGTTCGATACCCGTGCTTCGCTACAAAACTATGTGATCGGGCTTAATTTTGGGGGAGGAAAATAAGGGGGAAAATTCTGCCTCTGCCTACCAGCATCCATAGGTATTCATCTGGCTAGCATCCTGTCAGTGTGTGAGAGAGTTGAGGGCTGTTTGAAAAGTGACACAGTATTTGCTGTGTGAGCAAGTAGGAGACAGCAAGGAGCCTGGGCGTGGCTTAGCTCAACTGTTCTAAAGCTGCTTGGTGTTCTGAAACTGAAACAAAACTCCTCTGCTTGTGTTTTGCAGGTGGGGAGGGGGAGTAGAACTCCTTAGCATCAGAGTGTTCATAATAATATACAAATACTAATTATCTGATGGTCATTTCGAAAAATCCTCCTTTCTTAGCACCTAGAAGCCAAGAGGAATATACATGCCCAATTTCAAGTTTGTAGGCTTTATGGTTCTGGAGATTTTGTGATGATGCATGACTGGTATTTCGCTTTTAGATAGATAGATAGATAGATAGATAGATAGATAGATAGATAGATAGATAGATAGATTGATTTGTGAGGAAAAGGCATGAAGAACAATTAACATTCACCCTATGTGCTGAAAAACGAGGCCACAAAGTCTTAGTGCTACGGATCGTAATCATTCTTGGTGTGGGGTTTATTCCCTGTATGTACAGCACTTGCCTTGCTAGTGTCGATGGACGAGAGTTTTTCTCCTTGGTAATTCAGTGCCCAAAACACATCCTCTCCAGCAGCCAACAGCCAGATAAGCAGGAATAAACACCAGACAAACCACCAAACAAAAACAATACCCTCATCCAAGAACTGAGAAAAATACAATAGCAACCAACACTGGTAGGGCAAGCTATCTTGAGGTTTTTGGGAAAGTTATGGAGTCGGGCAGCATCAGTCTCTCTGAAGAAAGAGTGCAAAGAAGACCCACAAAAATGATAAGGGGACTGAGATACAGAAGTACAAATTTAGCAGTTACACCATTTTATCCCCCTTATTAGACTGTGACTTGTGACTTGATCAGTTCAAGTAAACCTTGATTACAGAGAATAACACAGAGGGGGACTGTAGTTTCACTACTCGGTTTCTTATAGCACGTTCTCTGACCCCTTGGAGATCTCAGGATGGCTCCTGGCAAGATATAAAGCAATAAACCCATACGTTCTAACTCAGTTAAGATTAGAATTTGCTGGGTAATTGGAAAATGAGAAGTGATTTTCAATTTGCCATTTGATGCAAAGACTATAGTGAGAATCTTACTTCTTGCAGGCATGATTTAGCAGTTTCAATCGTTGCTGTCTTGGGAGA